AGTACATTTTTTCTTGAAGTTTTCAATATCAGAAGGCCACGTCAGACGTCTAAAAGCCTAATCCATATATTATGTCATAATTACATCATTATTGCGCGTGAGGTGTTTACACGAAGCCAACGATGTGCTGGCGTCTCCTGATTGGCTGCCACTTCGGCAACCCATTCGCGGGGGAGCGTGATTCCCTGGAAGATAAACGGATCAGATCAGACACTTGGACGAGTCGGTTGCTGATACTCATACCAAGTTTCACGAATTACGATGTCGTCGTCGTCGTCGTTTTCATACATTGTAGATAGAAGAAAGACAGCGTGCCCAAATCAAATTCGGCAACTTTCGTGCTAGCTTGCACTCCAGTTTGGGACACGCGTCGTATACAGAAGCAAAAGGAGGGTGAAGATGGACTGCATATATCCATACCCGATTAGGCCTCAAGCTCATGTTTAGTAGATGCTCAAAGTTATTTGGGCTTCAATATGACTGCAACATAGGCTTGAGTGTTTCTAATGTTATGAATTGTGCACCTGCAAATTTGATCAAAGCACCCACCATTTATTTTCTTTTTTATTTTCAGTTTTCATCTTGCATTTTTGATCTATTGAAACACTTCATTGATGACATTTGAGCTAGTCTACATGTCACTTATGTCAAAGTAGAAAATATAATGTCATGAATAGGTAATTATAACTATTTTGCATGTATAAAAATCAGTAAGAATTTGGGGACAATCAACTGAATAAATCAAAACTGTGTTTGGATGTCGTCGTTTTCTTTCTATTCTAGTATACTTTCATTGCTCAAAATTACTATTAACATTCACAAAATTGAATATTAAAGAAAAATGAATTTATCAAATTGCTAAATGAAATACTATTACAACAAGATATTGCATCAATCTTCGCGCTATCACATTTAGTTTTACAATATGATTTTATTTTCAATGCATGTCACCAAGAGTTCACTTTGGTTCACAATGTATCCAAAAAAATTTGTGAATCCAAGGGCGAAAAAAAAAAGATTTCTAAAAACTTTTAAATTCTCCCCAACCAAAAAAAAAAGGTACTTTTCAATTTAAAAACGCTTGAGAAAAAAGGTACGATATAACCGTGTGTTTAATAAGCGCTTAATAAAATTAAAAAAACCCCTGCCAAAAATCCGCACGAAACTCTTCCCGCGCAACAGAGAAACAAGACCCTACTGTAGAGTCCACAGCAAGCTTCCCACAACCGCTCTCCACCACCACCATCAAAATCTGCGGTGACTGAGAAATCAAAAAGACTCAGAATTTCAGAGAAAACCCGAGCAACCATGAGCCCAACCACAACCACAGCCCCAAGGGAACCGCCGCAACCTCTATCAGACGCCGATATCATACGATTGGCCCAATCCTGCTCCCCAATCCCCTCCTTCCTCCTCACCACCTCGTCCCACCAAACCCTCCTCTCCTACCTCACTTCTCGCTCTCAATCCTCTTCGCCGTCGAAGCCAGTCTCCGATTACACTCTCTCTCTCCTCTCCCTTATCTCTCTATCTCCCCAAACCCACTCTCTCTCTACCCTTCTCTCCTCCGTCCTCCTCTCCTACACCCACCTCTTCACCTCCTTCAGAATCCCACACGACCCAAACTCCCTCAAGACCATCCAGTTCTTCCACACCCTCTTACCCTACGTGCCCACCACCGAACTTCCCCAAATAGTCGAACCCATTGTGTCATTTTTGCCCCAAATCGTCGATTCCGAGAATGCCCAGATCCTCGATCTCCTTCCCCGCTGCTTCAACTTGATTCGTAATGCCGAGGAGATCGAAGGCGGTGGGCGTTTTGTCAATTCGGTGATTGATAAGATTCTGGGGATCAATTGGTCCAAAGGGTTGGTGAGCAAGATGGTTTCGATTGTCCGGGACTTTCCAGTTCTCGATAAAACGAGGGCTCTAGAGTTTGTCGAAAAGGTATTTGTGGGAATGTCTAGCTTAGACTTGCAGGACTTGCCGTCGCTTGTGTACCAGTTGCTGGTTTTGGCGTCCAAAGGGTTTGTTAAGAGGGAGGTGATTGAAGGGATTGTGACGTTTTTTGGGTCTAAAATGGGGTCTAAGGCGAGCTCCATAGTTAGGCAAGTTGAAGGGACTGTGTTGCTTCACGTGAACTTTGCAGTGAAGCAGGACCCTTCATTGGGACAAGAGGTGATGGGGCTTGTGAGGTCGGATCTCAGAGCTTTCAATCATTTTACTGTTGCTGTTTTGTTGTCGGTTTCTAGGGTTCGGAAGTTCGGCGAGAGCTCGATGGGGGCTTTGAAAATAGCTCTGCTTACCGCGTACCGGGATTACAAGTTTGTCGAGTGAGTTGATGCCTTGTCTCAGTTTTGTTATTTGTTTAGTTTTCCTTGAAGTTGTGGCAGTGAATGCTTACTATGAATAAGTAATATGAAAAAGTTGCCTCAGGAAGTGTCACATTCGTTCATCTTCAGCACAATATGTATATAGGTCCCCTTTTCTTTTTCTAGAAAACATAAATATGTATATAGTTATGTAATTATTTGGAAACTTTTTCTTTCCTTCTTTGGGGACTGAATTTGCAAACTCGTTCTTATCTTGCAGAGATTGTAAGTGGATACCTGATGACATGAAGGAAGAATATCTGCAAAATGTCAAAGTAGTGGAGAAGGCCATGTTAAGAGCTGTAATTGCCTTTCGTCTGTTACCTTTTATATGTAGACATCTGTTCTTTCAAGTTTAGGTAATTGAATCTAAACATATAACAGTTATACGTATTCACTCTTCCGTTGAAATTTAGGTGAATGAGAGCAACTATGGAAGGGAACATATTGTGCCCAGCATTTTGGAGTTTTCTTTTTTATTGCTAGAGTCAATGGAAGGCGGAAATCAGAAAGACCCCTGCAATTCAAGTGGTTTGTTAGGCATCGAGGAACTAGCTATTCAGATGCTGAAAGCTCTATTTGAGGCCCATGATATGGCAAGGAATGAGGTCAGTACAGCAGTTTGAATACGGATTCACATTACTAACTTTTGAAAGTGCTCAGTCAATATTTTGTAGTTGGGGAGTGGGAAAAAAATAATATACGTGTATGGAATGTAATTTACAAAGACATATCTTCATTTGTTGTGCATCACTTGGCCTTTCTAGCCACACATGTTTAGTTGTAGGATTTTTAATGGGTTTAAGCATATCAGTGTATGAAAGTGGGTCTGAAAAAGTATCTGACAAGTGTCTTTTATCATATAAAAAAATCAATTTAATAAAGCTGATTCCATGTAATTGGAAAGCAGAGCAAATTATGTTTAACCAGTTCATGTCGCCATCTAACCATCCACAATGTACAACATTAGTTGATTGATTTCAATGTTTTATAGATTATCGAGCAGTGCAAATTTCGCATCCTTTCTTTAAAGCCAGAGCAGAGCATGGCAATCATTAGGTAATTGAAGTGACCTGCTTAAAAATGATGTTTATACTATGTTTTGTGTTAAGGTTTAATTATTGTTTATGTGCAGACTGCTTGGTAATCTTGTTCAAAGTTATCCTTATCCCATGTTAGAACATGTTTCCCGTATGAAGGAATTGTTAGATTATTTCACTTTCATGCATGGCAAAGTTGCTGCGGAAGTTGTTTCTGTTTTATTGCCTCTCATCAAGTTCAGCCGTGATCTTCAGGTAGTCATTGTTCCATTGCCTAATATGTGCCAAAATTGTACATTTATACTTGTGAATTTGGATACAATGTTCTTAAGCTCCATTGAAAAGATTCTGTTTTTTTTTTTAATATTTTAATTTATTTATAATTACCTGGAATATGCACAGAATCCACAGTTTTTTAACATTGAAAAGTTCTAGAAACAATATGTTATATTCAATGCAGCCTGGCAAGGAAATTTGAATTGTGGGGTATGAAGTACCGAATCACTCTGATACAGTCATGTTTTGCGCACAAAGTATGCTATTATAGAAGTGAGAACTTTTGTTGAAGTTGTTAATAAACAAAGTATTTTTATTTTCTTGTTTAATTCAATGCAGGATTACACAATTTTGGTAATGCGTAAGGCGATGTTTAGACGAGAAGATGCAGTTCGTCTGGCAGCAACTGCTGCTGTTATTGATCTAATTGTTGCAGAAAAACAATCCAAGAGAGATGACCCATTATCTTTTCAAGAGTCATCAAGCCAAGCTAGTAGCAGCCAGCAATCTGAGATACGCTACAGCGTGGGGGGAGGCCTCTTTCAAGAGCTTAGTGGTTTGCTACAGAGATGTCTTTACCAGCAGGTTTTGTATTCATCTTGATAATGTTATTCTCTTTTAGTTTGAAGAATGCCTTTGAATATAATTGGGTCATGGTTTTAGGCAAATGTCAAGGAAGTCCTGTATCATGGACTTGTGAAGCTTGTGCTGGTGGACCCGTCAAGTGGGAGGGCTGTCTTTGATTTTCTGTTGCCTCACTTCCTCCAGTTCTTTAAGGAGGTAAATGCAGTTGCTTGTCATTGATTGTTTTCTGATGCTTTATGTTGTTTCTGAATTCCAAGTTTTGATCCCTTATTGAACAAAGCTTATGGCTTATCACGTCAAATTTCATGAGAAGAAACTGAAACATTGGTTAATCTAAATTCCATGCTTTACATCGAAGCACTATCTTGGCAGGATGAAGACGTTCAACTACAAATTAACTGCTGCGTCAAATCAGAGAGTGGCAAGGCTTATATTGGAGAGCCCTTACATTGTCTTTTATCTTGTATCTCTTGGATGCTACTTCTACAACCGCATGGTAAAACTGAGCAAGCCTTGGAATCGTCATGGGCATGTTTAGGTTTCTCCCTTTCACAAGAAAACGAGGTATCTGATTGCTCGTAGTAGTGAACAAAACTCATGACGCTATTGATAACATATGGATTCTTGTTTCTTCTTATTTATTTATTTGATACAATATGATTTCTTGTTTTGATGAAAAAAAAGAAGATAATATATATATATATATATATTTTGTCTTACAATGTCAAAATGAAACCACTGACAGGCAGGAAGAAATTCGTCTGTTGACTCCTTCTGTACTGCTTTTTTGAAGATACGGAAGTCTCTAAGAAATCAGAATTTGGAAGGTTTGCAGAAATACTTGATTAACCTATGCCATATCTTCCCTCCCTTGTTTTCTCTTGAGGTTGTGTGAAGTATCATTAGTCTATCTTTTTCAAATTTGGGGGTATGCATACTTTGTAATGTTTCAAAAGACTGGTTTTTGGGGAATTTGCACTTGGTGAAACATTAAGCAAAAAGAAACAAAAAGTTTATCGTGCTTTGTTAGACGCATATTGTCAGTATCCTTGCTGAGTTCTTTAAATTTTCTCAGCTTATTTATCTGGATGGTTTTGAAGTGAAAATTAAAAGGAGATTAACTGAAGCATTAGTTTACCTCTATTTTGTTATGTGGTATTGGAGAAAGAATAAGGTCTGTCCTCAACACCCAGACTGATTCAAAAAAAAAAAAAAAGTGGAAACTACTTAATTCCCTTAAGAAGTGGTGAACTAAACATTAATTGATCATTCCTTTTTAAGGCAGATCCTCCTTAACAGTTAGTTTCTTTATGTGTCAGATCAGGTATCTTTGGTCAAACTCAGGATCCAGGATCTGCATCTGTTGAAGAGGACAAAAGAAAATGCTGCTCGTTGATTTTATCAGGAATTATTGAAGTAGTCTTGAATGCTATTGCTACTGGGTTGGAGAAAGCAACAGATGGAAAGAAATTGGATTTGGAAAAGGAGCTTATTGAGTTTGTTGACCTTCATGATTCATTGGATAAGGATACAGGTTTCTCCAGGCAGAGTACAGTTATCAGAAGAGGAAATCCTCGCACTTCCGCTCATGATGTACCAAACAACATGGAGTCAGGCCACTCAAAAGTGACACAAGGACGAATTTCTTTCTTTGCAACTTCGAGTATATATCAGATATTGCAAACAGTATTGAAATTACTCAACACTGATAATCCTAATCATGTTGCAGCTTCCCAAAACAATAGCCAGCTTACTTGCAAGACGTCAAAATGCTGCTCTAAGATGATTTGTTTTGTCTTGAATGTGTCCCTTAGTCATATAAAATCTTCCTCTGTTCTGCAAAATGACGATCCATTGAGAGCTTTGATCTATGGAGAAATTAAAGTGCTAGGTCCCCCATTGTTGAAATTGATATTTTTGCTTACATCACGGCCAAGGATGGTGTCAAATCAAAACAAAACGGAAGCTAAGGGAAAGAAAGATGTTCAAGAACAAAAGGAGCATCTTCATCTAGCCTTGATTTGCTTGAAGGAATTGATAATGATTTGCTCACGGACTACACACTTGACTGGTTTGCTTGAAGATATGGTTTCAATCTCCACTCTTCAGCATGCGGGTTTGGATAATGAAAGTGAAACAATCTCCATAATCGAAGATCAACATACAAGAAGCAAAGAACTGTTCATTGTGAAAACCTTGAAGCCTCTATTTTCTGAGCTTCTTGCACTTTCATTTTTTAGTGAAGTTGAGGTAACCAGCATCTATGACCTTGCTGATTTATACCTTTCTTTTTTAATTTTCCTTCTAAAAGACATTTATCGATTTCTCAAAAGAACTATTTTTTCTTTCAGATTATTTGTGACATGATATTGATCATTGGGGGCAAATTGCCATGCAAATTAAGTAACTCCCATGGAGCTTGGGCCATTAGTGTTTGCAAGAGCAATGAAATATTAAACTCAAAGGTTGGAAAAAGTCTTGTGACACTGGCTATATGCTTAAGCTCACCTCCAAATGATTTAATAATATGTCAAGATATGGCAAGAGCGCTGTTACAGGTTATTGGATCCGAGGGAAATGTCCCAATGAAGGTGTCTGAAGTATACCCCCTCGTAAACCATCTGACAAGTCCCACAATAAATTCTTGTATCCTGCACATAATTGAAGCCGTTATAGTTGACATGGATTGGGCCATCAAAAAGTTGAAGACATTCTCTTTAGTCTCTCAAAAAAGCATTCATCTTAGTCAGAACATCGAGCAATCTCTGGTGTTGGCACTTGAGGAAAATCTTTACGCTAGGGCAGAAGCAGTGGTGAAAGTACTATCATCCTTTGCTTCAATGAGCCTCAACGGTGCGTGTGCAGTTTGTACTATGAAATGAACTTAAAGTAGGTCACTCCTGTTTATGCATTTTTGCTTTGAAATTGTGCAGATACTCAAGCAGAGTTTTTGCTGCGATTTTGTGCAAGGTTTTACAAGCATTTAGCTCAGATGTCAAAGCTTAGGATTGCTCCTAAAGGTTGCAAACAGATTTTTCCTAGCCTTAAGTTTCTGAAGCTTGTGGAGGTAACCTGCAAGCAGCTCACGAATCCTCTATATAACTTTGTGGCAATTATGCAAGGGGTACGTGTGCAGTTTGCACTATCAAATGTTTGCTGTCAGTTGTAAAGGTTTACCTGATGATGGTGTTCCGTTTCATCATACTTATGTTGCAGAAACATCAAGAAAATGCTAATACAAAGGGAATGATCAACAAAATAAAGAGGGAGAACAGGTGCATCCCGGAGCTGATATTTCAGATAGAAGATTATGAAAAGTATCTCATCCAGCTTAGCAAAGTGTGCAAAGTAAATTTATTAAGGCACGCGAAGCGTAGTACTGCGCGGGATTTCAGAATAATCCCAAACAACATTAACAGGGAAGAAGATCCTCCAGGTCAAGAACCAAACCAGGACAATTCCAATGCAGTTGAAAATGAGTCAGGTGAGGATCTTGGGGACACTGAAGGAGATGATGATGGGTCAGAGCATATTTTATCACCAGAAGACAACAGTCCTCTGGTTGCAGGGGACTCTGGCTCTGATAATGAAGATGGAGATGGCCTTCCTAGTGCCAAGAGGTTGAAGAGAAGCAACAGAGTTGTGCAGGACTCTGATGATGAAGCCTAAAACAAAATGCATGGAGCTGATAAATGGTATATACACTATTAGTAATTATGTTATACAGGAAATTCATAGTTGTCAGTTGGCCATCTTTCAATTTTGATACTTATGTTTTCGGCCAACTCAGTTTTGATATTTTGCCTGCTTCTACTTTGATAGAATTTTAAGCAAAAGTAGTGATTTGCTTGTTACAATACAAATTAGTGATCTTCAAGCTATCATTTTAATTTCTGGTAATGTTCATAAATGTATAAAAAATCATTACTTTAAATTAGTCTAATTTGAATTTGAATTTGAATTTGAGTGAGGTGGTTTCACTTATATGACTAACTGACCTAATTCAGGTATTCGCTCATAAAATTTTAAATGAGGCAAAAGAGGCCTAATGATGTGTACCACAGTTGAATGATGAGTTGGAACTGAAAGTACAAAAGAGTAGAAACACAGCCATCATTACACAAAAAATGAAATGATTAAAATTTGGTCGGACGTCCAAAAGGATTTAAATTCCAGGAAGGGCAAAACGACACCGTCGCGTCCCATTCACACAACTTACCTAGCCGTAAAACTCGTTGTTGGTCGAAACTCGTTGTTCTTCAGGCATATCATGGATCGGGGAACCATTTTCCTGTTTCCGTACGCGGTAAAAAACCACCAAACTCAAAACGCAGTAAAAAAGAAAAAGAAAAAGAAAAGAAAGAGCCCCCAACCCAACAAAAGTAAAAGAAGGCATCTCCATAATTTCACACTTTCATTCCACTCATTACAGTCAGTCACGGTCACGGTCACGGTCACAGTCACAGGCTCGCAGAGAGAGAGAGAGAGCAAAGAAAGGGTGGATGTGGAGGGTGTTCTTCTTCTTCTCTCTGCAGAAAAGAACAAGTCTCGTCCTGCTTTTGCAAGCAAACCTCTGATTTATTACCAAATCGGAACCAGACACAGTCAGACTTTCTCTCGCTTTTGAAAGCAAAGCAAAGCGCAGAAGAAAAATAGCACAAAATGAGTGAAGACGCCAAGAGAAGCGTCCCTGGAGCTCTGTCGTCGAAGCCTAATTCCGACGACCGTAAACCCTCGCCGGCGGTCACCACAGCCACCGGCAAGCGTGTCATCATCAAGAGCGCCGACATGTTCCAGGATATGCAGAAGGAGGCTGTCGACATCGCCATCGGCGTTAGCTCCTCTCTCTCTCTCTCTATATCTTGTTTTTATTATTATTTTTTTGAATTTTCTCATAACGAATCTTTGGGTTTAATTTACAAATGGGTTTTTTTGGGAAAACAAAAGTATTGAATTTCTGGGTTTTATTCAGGCATTTGAGAAGCACAGCGTAGAGAAGGACGTTGCGGAGTATATTAAGAAGGAGTTCGATAAGAGGCATGGACCCACTTGGCATTGCATCGTCGGTCGTAATTTTGGTAACCCGTTCAGTTTCTCTCTTCCCTTTTCTGGGTATTCTTTTTCTTTTTTCTTATTGGGGTGTTTTGTTCAGATATAACATTTCAGAACTTTGGGTGATAATGAACAAATCTAATGCATGATTTTTTGCTTTTAGTTGCTGTTGGGTTTTTTCTAGTTTGATGAGGATGGGTTGTGCTGTTTGAAATGAAATAGATCTAAAACATTGTAGCTCTCTCAGATTGAGAAATTCTCAGTTGAATGGCTGAAAAACTTTGTTAATATATATTACTTTTTTTGTTGACATGGAAGGGTGCTTAAACTCAAGAGTGGAAAACCTTTTGACCAATGATTATTGTCCAATGGATCCTGATTTTGGAGGGATATCTGTTATTGTTCTTTCTTCAGCCTTTAGAAAATTAGATATTCAGCTGCGGTTGAATGGTTGAAAGAGTTTTGTAAGTAATAGAAAATGGGGGATTCAGACTTGTATATAATCTCTATGCAATCCCAATCGGGTTTGTCAATGATTGAAATTAAGTTGTCAGTTTGGCTTTCTCATTGGTTGTGTACCTGATGTTCTAGGTTGAGCCTAATATGCTATGGCTAGATCAATGTCTTATTGAAGCCTTGGGCATAGGCGCATAACTAAATATGCTTGGGGTTTGGCTTCTGTATGTAGTGCAACAACATGGTTCCCTAAATGCTAGCTGGTTATTTGGAGGACAGAGATTGTGGGTGGTTATCCGAAATAAAATTTAGGAGACATGTTTGAGTAGTTCACTAAACATAACTTGAGCTGAGAAAAATTTATTCATAGCCCGTCAATCACAAAAGGTTGTGCTTTTGATGCATTACCAGGCGAGAGGCAGCCCATCGAGGCGTTAATTTGCTTACAGTAAATTTTGTTGTATGCCATCTTGTTTTGCTCTACTTCTGTATATGGCAGGATATTTTATTTCATGTGCATTGTTATGTGTTATCCTCTGTTTACGTTTTCACATGCAATGGTTTGAGATTGGTGTAAAATTCAATATCAATCCTTGATTTTAACAATGTGTCCATATTTCCTGTTTAGTATGAGTATTAGTTTGTACCAATTCTATTGCAAGGAAACAGTTTCTGGGATTCCCATGGAGAACCAGCGTGTCATTTTGTTTAGTTTCTATTCAGCCAACTTGTCAGCTTCACATAGTTGTAATAAAAACACGAGGCACGACCTAGGTTGAATAGTTCATCATTGCCATGTGAATCTCCTATTTTCTTCCACAAGTACCCTTTTGGTTAATTATGAATCTCACAAGCACTGACATTGCTGCTTCAGAGTTTAGAGTGTTCACACTTACATTTGGTTGTTGGGTCTAACGTAGCTTCGACCTTTTCTTTTCAACGTATTACTGACATATGTATGGAATAGCCTGTGTAGTAGGCAAAGGCTTGTGTATGATGCCTTCGGTGATCTTTGATATGGCATCCAGCTCCTGTTGAAACAAGGACTACCAAGGGCAATTGCTGCTAATTTTTCTTGCTCCATTCAGAATGCAATATATAGAAATTGTCTTTAATTTTGGATTTTTGGAATCCCTTTTGTTTTTCTTGCTTAATCTGAATCCAGAGATTAAATCAATTAACATAGAGTTGTTTTTATCTTGCTTAATCTGAATCCAGAGATTAAATCAATTAACATATAGTTGTTTTTATCTTGCTTCCTTAGTAGTAATCTTTAGATTGTTCTTTGTATACCAAATTACAAAAAATTTGTAACATAGAATAAGAATCATTCACAGTTATGATTTCGTGTTTCTTTGTGCAGGTTCATATGTGACTCATGAAACAAACCACTTTGTTTACTTCTACTTGGATCAGAAAGCAGTTTTGCTATTTAAATCCGGTTGAACACGGTTGTGATGTTGGCAAAGATGGAGATGAAAAGAATGACGAGCCTGAAATTGTGATGCCATAAGTTGCACCTGTATGTATTAGTTGAAATCTGCTAGCTTGCAAACCGCTTGCTTAACATTTTCTTGTGCTTAACTTGTATATCTAATATCACTTCTACGGGCTGTGAACCTTGGGTATGAATTTCAGTCTTTCAAATGAATTGTTTCTCTAAACTTGGCTCTTTATCAGAAAGCTCACTCATTTTTCTTTGTTGGGTGAAGTGAAAATATGGAACTTGTATGGGGACTTCTGAACTTCACATCACAGTAACTTAATTTGTACAATTCTCTTCTGGTTTAGAAGAATGGTTTTTAGTAGGAACTCACTAAACATCAGAAAAGATTGCTACTTTTTCTTTTCTTTGATTGGATGTAGACATATGAATATAAAACCTAATGGTTTCTCTAACTCTAATTATTGATTCAATTTCATGCTGTGAACTGATTATTTTCCTACTGAACAAACAAGGAACAAGGAAAGCTATACTATTTCAATGAACGTACAAAATGAAGGGGAGATATTCTTATTGGTTTAAGAATGATTGAATTAGAGGTGGTAAATTACACATAGTTTATTAGCTAGTTAATAGCATATATTCCTTTGAAGTCAAGCAACAAACCTTTGCCATGAGGCCCATGGCTAAGCTAAAGTCCAATGGTTTAAAATAGGTTTAAAATTTCAGTTGCCTTTAAATAAAGTCATTCCCAGCCAACATAAGAATCTCCTCTTTCTTCTTTTTTTTTTTTTTGATAAGTTGGCTAGAGCGGATCCCCGCTTGCACCCGAGTTCGAATCCCCCTCCCAATAATTTAGATTAGATTAAAGTAAGAATCTCTTCTTTGAGTAGTATGATTAGATTGAAAACTCTTTTAAACAACTAATAGATAAACTAGCACTATCAATTAAATAGGCTTTTTGGGGGGCAACTACTGATAATTTTTCTTTTTTAAATAAAGGAAGAGAATCTTGCATGGCAACTCCACTAAGAGCTAGCTAACTATTCTATCGGCTCTAAGCCACCTAGAATTTAAAACTACATGCTATATCTGTCTGCCCAAGAATCTTTATCAAGGTCTAAAATATCGATGATATCGGAAATATCGATAGTCCAAAAACACGGAAATTTCGATAGAAATATAAGATATTATCGATATCGATAAAAATTGAATAAAAACCACGGAAATTGTAAGAAAAACTTGAAATTTTTATTGAAACTTTGGATGATGTTTATTTAGTCAATTATCTATTCGTTTATCACAAAAAATTGGAAGGAAATTCATTGTATGATGGATTTAATTGATTTAAGTTGATTATATAGCGTGCTGACAAATACTGTGAGTGTAGAAAATATGTAGTAATTAATGAAAGAAGATTAAACACACCATAATCATTTATATATAATGATTTACTACAATATTTTACACTTTATACATTGCATGGTAAGATACATGAGTGACTATGAGGTTCAAAAAATTTCAGTATCTTCATCATCTCTATGTGTAGAGTAAGTGTATTGTGAGTAGTCATCAAATGATAAATCCCCAAAATAGTTTTCCATGTAATTATTAATATGTCACTCATATGGATCTGAGATTGATTGACATTGTCTATAAACAAAATCATTTGAAGATTGGGTCTCAAATTCTTTCCATGAGCTGCTTGATTCCTTCCCAAAAGTAAAAGTCAAAGACTCACATTCTCATGTGAAAATTTAATTCTTACAAAAGCAGTTCAAAACGAAACAGTATAAATATACATATTTTAGCATTGTATCACAAAAACATAAGCAACATGGTGGTTAAGGTGTTGGAGGAGTAAAATGGCAAGGGTTTGAATCCCCTTTGAGTGTGTGATTTGTGTTTTTTTCTTTCTCTTTTTCCATTACATCGATATTTTTGATATTTTTGATATTTTCAATATTATAGCGATATTTTGACAAAATATTGTTGAAGTGTGAGCGAAATTATCGACATCGATATTTTTTGATATTATCGATATTTATACGATATGTGTATGGATACGTTCCGAAATATCAGTGACCCGAAAAAACGATAATATCCTCGATATTATCGATATTTTATTTAGACTATGATGTTTATAATGTTTTTGGCAATTCTAAGATTGCCTTGTCTTGGCTTGCTCGTGTCTAGCCGCCGGCAAGTTGATCGACTCGAATGAAGCAAGTCTAATGTTTATTTGAGGAACATAATCAAGAAGATTATTATATTTAATCTCTTTTACAAAAAGTTTGTAGAATTCTATATATATTGAGTTTGGCTACTTGTCATATTTAATATAAAATTCTATAGAAGCCTCTCATTTCTCTCCGTCTCTGTCAAGGCTGCGAAAAGCAGAATTCACAGTCGTCTTGAAGCTATTAAAAATGGTTTTTCTCAGGCAGCAGCAAGGTTAAGACCTAAAATTACAGTGTCGTTTTGCAGGGAAGGCTTATTGAGCATATATAAGGAGGAGGGAGGGCATAAAGACAAATAAGTGGCAAATCCTATTTATTCCAATTAGCATTTTCCAAATTCCAATCCCTCTTTCTAGGGTTCTAAGTTCCTACTTTCAAGACTGCATGAGCACATAAAAAAGCATATAGATTCCATTCCGAGGTCCTAATTCCTGTGCTTTATTTTATTTATTTATTTTTATTTTTAAAGGCTTCGAAATTAATCCATGTTCATTCACAGAAGAAAAGTAAAAGAAATATAAAAAGAGATTCACACCCACTATTTTCCCCAAATGATTGATTCGTACCAGAAACCCTTTTCCTTGTTTTGTATCTTTCTTTATGGAACTGTTTCCCAATGTCAATTTGTGCAGACATGATGTTTCAACTTCCAATCATGCATGCATCTCGCTTGCCTCACCTAAACACAATACAAAAATTACTCGAGTGCTTGCAGATGAAGCCATGGCTGCACTATATATCATTGGATTGTGCAGGTAAAATTATTGTACCGATTCTCCCATAATGTGCACGTAAAGTTCATTATTATGTGACCTGATCTGGCTTGGTAGGTACCACGTGTATTGTTCGATGAAAGTTACATATAATTGATACATATAAAATACAAAATATTTTACTTAATACGACACTGATAAATGCTAATAAAATACTGTCCATTTGCATTGTTATAGGAAAGTTACATATAATCAGTGCATACGAAACTTTACCTAAGCCAACCAGTAACAATCAACTTTTCATTAATGTGACACCAATAAATGGTAACAATCAACTTTTATTCTAAATTGTCAGAGAAAAGTTACATATAATCGAATCATGCATAATCTTCCCCTAATGCAATACCGACAACAATCAACTTTTTTTCTACATAGTCGGAGAAAGTTACGTATAATCGACACAAGCCAAATCTTCCTCTAAGAGCATCTCCAAGGGAGATGTCAAATACCAAACATCAAATTTAAATTTGATGGCTGATGTGACAATTTGACATCTTACACAGCTTTATACTCCACCCGATATGTCAAATTAAATTATTATTTTATTACATTTTAGTGTTGATTTATTTTTAATTAAAAAGAATATAAAAGAAAAAATAATAAAATATTCATTTGACATCTTACTTTTGGGATGTCAAAAATAACATCTCAATCTTCAGCCATCATTCCACATCAGCTTTGACACATCGGTTGGAGTGTGTGAGATGTTATTTCTAGCTGTTAAATATCTATATGGCACTTTTGACATATCGGTTGGAGATGCTCTAATACAACATAAATAAATGATAAAATTTTCTTCAACATTGTCAGAGAAAAATTACTTATGTTCGACGCAAACAAAATTTTTCTCAAATACGACGCTAATAAAACAATATACTTTTTATTACGCATTGTCAGAGAAAAGTTACATATAACCGACGGGTTCAGAACAGTTACCCTAATAATGCGACATCGATTAATGGTGACAGTCAGCATTCCTTTGCCGAAAATTTGCAACCGTTCTGATATTTTATCCTCGGATGTTTTCTACTTGATGAAACATTTTACCTTCTCTTTCTTTGGCTTTTCCTTCCCCATTTCTTTTAATGATCAAAGACCATTCAACGTCCTTGGCAATATTATTGGACCGCCTATCTTTGTCAAATGTAAGAATGGGAACCCATGAAATTAAAATGGTAGCTAAAGGATCAAAATCACACTCATTTCAAGCACTAAATGTATCGTATTCAATGTTGCAAATTGCAATCAAATCAAGAGGGGCTTAGATTTAAGATGCATAAAAAGGGGAGGGCCTATAAATTAAACCAGAAAAGTACAAGGGGTTGAAAGAAATATATTCAATCTCATGGTTCCTTCCTTGGTGGCAGTAATCTTTTTTCTTATTGGGACCATGACATTGTTCTCCAAGTACTAATTCTGCACTATGTTGTCCACCAATATATACTATTGTCCCCTCACTCAGTGCGCAATTTAGACATTCCCTCTACAATTCCACTAAAAATGCGCATCGGATCAGAAAAAGAAACAACAGAGATTTTCCATTGTTGTCATGGTGTCAAAAGAAAAGAAGACAAGTAAAATCATGCTCCATCTCATGAGCAGTATTACCACACTCAAAAATTTTATAAAATTTCAATAATTAAAATCATCAATGCACAATAACAAAATGCCATTAATGCCCTCTCAACTGTCACAAAATCCCACCACTGTCCTCCATGGTTTCTGCTCTAAACAATGGTGGAGCAACCAAAACCGTGGGCTATTACAGATAAAATGTTTGGGGGCAAAACAGGTTGGATCCTTTTGTCCTCTTGGCAGGAAGCACTAATAAAAAGGACAAAGAACATCATAGTCATTTCGAAATAAACCAAGGGGTAAAACTGAAAATACAACTCAAAGAAACCAATTCTTGGTTTCCAACTGGTTCTCTCTCAGTCTCAGTAGGCAAAACCACTCCCTCGGTTTCTGGTTCCTTTCCGTTGATTGGAGGCAGCAGATGAAGAAGAAGATGATGAGGAAGCCGAAGTAGGTTTCATGGCAGCCATTGAACACTGCTTCTCTTGGCGAAGACTCTCTTCCTCGTCCATGAAAATCTGCCTGTACCTGCACTCCACGCTGCAGAAGCCCCTGTCACCCCTGCATTTTCAAAACCAAATGAAAAAAACCCAAATCAAGATCTTCACTTTTTTCTCCAAAACCGCCATGCAATGATGCAAAACCAAAAACAACATCTGGGTTTTTTAAGAAACAGTAAAATCAGAGGTGGGTTGTGCTTATTTTAACAAAAAGGTGTGAGCTTTTGTGTTTTTTTTTTTGGGGGTTGTGGGCGGACTTACTTGTACATGTAGATGTCTTTGCCAGGCAAGAGTTTCTGTCTGCACAAAAAACATTGGTCAAGAAAAGTTGGGGCCAAGAAGGGTGTCTGAGGAGAAAAGAGAAGATTTTTGTGGCTTTTTGAAGGGTTTGAAGGAGAAGGCAAACAAGAAGACGACGATGAAGGCTTGTTGATCACAACCATGGTGGTTTTGTTAATAACTTGTGGGATATTTTTGCCCACACCACCACTTCGCTTTTGACCTTCCAATACTATGCTAAGTCCAACCATATCTCATTCTCTGTGTGTGCCTTCTTCAACACACACACACACACGCAAACCCTCTTTGAACCTCTTTCTCTGTAAATTTGGTGATGGGAGGAAGAGAGAGGCTTCTGGAGGATAAAAAATTTGAGGAAAATAAATAGAGCAGAAAGACAAGGGATTGGTGGGTCCCCTAACAGCTATGGAGCAGTAACAAGGACGATTAGCGTAGCCATTGATTTGACTCCTTGTGCTGGTTAACTGCCACATACCCCCTTCTCTAGTTCCCAATTCATTTTCTTTTTTTTACATTCTTTTTTTGGGGGTTTTTTTAATTTTCTTTTGGGCTATTTTTGTTTTTGTTTTGTCTGCTTATGTTTACGTTTTAAATGCGATTGCTTGTATAAAACTCGTCTCATAATTATTATTATTATGGTCAGAAGTAAAAACAAAAAAACCCAGTCGCATTCGAACAAAGCCAGAAATGGGTCATGTGATCAGTTGCTCTCTTCTGCGGAGGGTTGCATGGGCTGTATGATTTATACATAAACTGAAGACTGACAGAAAAGCATGCTTTGCTTTTGTCTATATGCCTAATTGCCAAAACAAACTAACAAACCCATGAGTTTATTACACACCTTCTAATAATTTTGTGTGCTATACTCTACAAATTCTTTCTTGGTTTCTTCTGTCTTTTTCATAACTAAGGAAAGATTATTGTTTACTTAATTCACTAACCTAAATTAATGCCCTAATAGATTATGGTAAACTTTGTTGGTGAGGATGATTGGACATTGTTTTGAAAGTTCTATCTCAACCCACCCTGGGATTTTTTTATATTTATTTTCCTTTTTCTTGACCAATGGAAGTATAAATTTCTAACCCAATCCGAACCCACTAACAGATAGGGTGGGGTTTACTAATTGCTTTCTTAAAAGGTCTTGAAATACAGATAGTGTTATATATAGACTATCTAAATGCTTCCTAATCCAACTTTAAAATAAATAAACAGGACATTCATTGCTTTTGTTTTATGCATAATCAATGTTTTAAAATAAATAAAAAAGAGAAATATCATAAGATGAATAACGAGATGGTTCTACGATGGATATTTGCAATTGCAAACCCGTTATGTCCCTTGATCAAGCATAACCTGCAATATTTATGGTGATTTAGTAGATGAATAAAGATATATAGCACTAGTTCCTTTGAAATTTGGCAAGACAATTTAGACCATTTTTCCAATAATTCAGAAGTTTTTAAATGAACTACTAGACAGAGGCGTCTGGTAGCATAAAAACTTATATAAAACGGGTATAACATTGTTTTGTTATCTCAGCCAATTAAGCTATATCAAGTAAAAAAATTATCACGCACATCGTGATTAGCCAAAAATAGCAAAACAGTATTACCCATTTGCACTCAAATGTTTCTCCTATGACAGAGATTTGGTTGATAAATTATGGCTTCCATCCCCACCCCAACAACATAAAATAAAGGGAAAAAAGAGGAGGGTGAGCACTCCTGGATGGAGCAGCTGCAATTCTAAGTGAATGACTGCCTCTGTTTATGTTGATCTGCATAGCATTCCAAATCTGTCTTGGAAAAAATATATATAAATTATTGCAAAGATGGAGAGGATTGAGTTTGATAGCAACCTTTTATATTCATCGTATTGCATCCTTCTCAGCCTACCTATCCCTATTTTATATATACATATATCTCTTAGACTTAGAGCTATTAATTGTTTATTTTATTTATACTCTAATCTCAGGTATTTTTACAATATTACCAAGGAATTATTATTTACCATATATATTTACAAGCCAAAGGAAGAGACGTTGCTCTTTTTCTGAGAAAGAGAATTCATTTATAGAACCAAAGATGTACAAAGAGCGACATGATACAGTGGCCTCGTTAAAACCTTCTTAGGACAACCTCATGGGACAAACCCCAAGGGAGAAAAGAGTACCACACATGACATGAGCTAACAAGAGAGTCCAAATCAGGTCACTTTGGATTACAATAAAAGAACAAATCAAAAACGAAAACTAACACAAAGACTTCCAACGAGAACTGCAACTAGAGACCAACACAGTAGACCCACATGAGAGGACCTCAGAAACCCCAAATAGTAAACCCACAGGAGAGGACCGCAAAACATCCCAACTGTCAAAAGAAGCATTTTATTAGCAAAATCATAGTCCTTTGACACCCACACAAACTACAAGGCATACCATAGCAGAAACCATGAGAGAACACGAAGGAGGAACACATAAACAACAGTAAAAGGACCCTGAGAAGCACTCCACTTCAACTCAAAACTTGACAAAGAAAACTTCTTATGACCAAGCATAGTTCTTCAGTCGATGTAGAGTAAAGAAGAGCACCACAACCCAACAACTACCACCAGCGTCACTGTTGTCGCCGTTATTGAACAGAGACAAAACATCAGCCATCAGGTATCACAACTCTCCCATGCATGGAGAGACATAATCCAGCGTTACTACTATGCCACCGCCGAGACAAAGACAACACGAGTCACCTAGAACACTGCAAAAACAACTAAACAAAACAAACAAACAAACAAACCTAGATCTAAACAAATCTAGACTATCTAAGGAGGGGAAGGGGAGGAAAAGATGGGATAAGAGGAAGGGAAAATATTGGAGAAAAATAATGGGAGATGAGGAGAGGAAGGGGAAAATGGGCGGAGGGGAGGTGGGCCACCTCCCCCCTTTAGCTTCCTTGTGGTTGATTGTCGGCAAGGAGAGAAAGGACCAGGGTGAGACTAGGGTTTTTTTAGAATGACACGTTGCTCTTATTGGAGGATTAATGTAATAAGGCCCCAACCCCCTATCAAATCCTTTGCAAGCCTTTGATGGTTAATTAATCCTATGACCTATCAAGATATTATTATTTTTACTTTTATATTTTTGCAAATTTTGACCTAGGGAAAGAAGTGCGTACAAGAAAAATATAACATATATGAATTAGGATAGTTAAACACCCTTTAATTGCTTTCACTTTCATGCTTATCAAGAATAATGGGTCAAGTAACTTAGTCTTAAATCTTTCCTGACTTAGTCCAATTATAGGTGAAAACGAAACCACAACCATTACGCATGTAAAATAAGATATAAAATAAGATGAGCATAGGGAAAAAGATGTAAATCAAACACATTTGATTTGATGGTACATTTAGAAAAGTGATCAGATGAAGATATTATTTTCAAATGGGGAAGAGCAAATTGCATGGCGCTTTTGTTTACTATCAGATTAAGTAGAAGATAAGATCTAATAATTAGACCCCATTTGTTTAATAAACCATATCAGAACATTGGTAAGTAACCAGAGAGAGAAGGAAATTAACCATGTAATTAGATATGGATGGAGGAGGTGGTTGTAACTTTTGAAAGCTCCAATTAGATATTAATTTTCCGGGGGTGTGGGGGTAAGTATTTATTATTATACTGTAAAGACTGGTTAAAAACCCAGCTAGGTGGTCTTGAAGCAAGGGAAGAAAGGATCGTATCGTATCAGTTCCAAAATGGTAGGGATAGTTTGCTGACTAAAACAAAAGCCTCGAAGAGATAAACGAACAGATGGTTTTGATGCAGTTAGCGACTTTGTCCTTTTTTAAACACACACAAAGCGGATCGACCATGGAATTAAATTACAAGAAAGAAAACAAAGAAAGAAAAAAAGATTGAGATGGAGATAAAGAGATAGGTCATCATATCTTGTACGTACATTAGCTATATAGCTAATGAGAGAGAGAGAGAGAGAGAGAGAGAGAAGGTTAATGCTTTGCGTTGTGGAGCTCAGCTAGCAAAGCAAAGAAAAGATTAAAGGAAGGGAGGAGGAGGCCTGCTTTTTCCAGGTGTTGGTACTGAGAGGATGATGACGTGTAAGAATAGTGGGGGCTTTGTTTTCTTCCAACACAAAATACAAAACAAAACAAAATTGCAGAAGGCCGTACGTAGATTCTTTATAATAAAGCCGGCGCCACAGGGAGACAGGTGGCTCTGGTTATTTCTCATCTTGACATGCCTCCTCGTGAATGACATTGAGGGATTGCTTGGTTTTAGTTCACTTGGGTATTAATTATGATCATAAGTTCATAACCCATGGTTATCCATTAGAACTACAACAACTACTAACTAGACTTATAGACTCTAGCTAGGTTAGCTAATGGTTATTAATGCTCTCAAAGTTCCATTTTACTTGACTTTGTTTTTGTAGATATAGTTATTGACGCATTAATTGTCACATTATACAACCAGTTAGCATGATTTGATTTGATTTTCTTTTTTCTTCCTATTATTACTTTGCTAAAATCTATAAACTCATCCCATTCTAAACTTTTTCACTTCCCTCCCTTCCAAACACACAGGAAGATGTATTGCCTCAAAATGTATCATACATTCCACAAGTGTGGAATATGAATCATAGAAACGATTTCAATAAGTCTTACCTTTTGTATTAGATTTAACCATACTAATGTTGGGAAACTGTAATTTTATTGTTATCGTGTAATTTTTTGTATCGATAACAACAAAAATGACAATAATAAAGACAAATTTTCAACTCTATGGTTAATACAAATTTCAATAGATCTTATCTTTTATAGTAGGTTTAGCCCCACTATATTTGACAAAATGTCAAAAATTAGGGTGATAATAGCTTTCGATATGTACCAACTCTCTTTTGTCACATGTATGTATAAAATCTTAAGGAAGAATTTCATTAGATTTAGCCTTACTATAGTTGAGAGCTGTCATTTTTGTCGTCATCGATAAAAGTTATGGCGAAGAAAATTTTCAGCTCCAAATAATTAATTGTGTCCTTCTCTTTTGTCGTGTGTATGTACAAAATCTCATACGACAACTTTCATTAATTACTCTTACCTTTCTTAGTATATTTAGCTTCATTATAGTTTGAGTACAATTTTTTGACCTTATTTTTAGGTTTTAAATCTTAATTTCTTCGATACCCAATATGTAGATAGAAAATGGTGCTTCTACAATATGTTGTACATCTTACATTTGTTGATTTCATGTAAGAGCTTGAACATGTGATAATATAAAATATTAATATTTTTAAATCAATTTGAAAAAAAGAAATTCAAATTTGGAATAACATT